TTCTCCCTGTTTAAGCAAGGCATCTCCCTTGGGCACGCCGCCGTTTGCCTGCTGCTCCTGAGGACAACGCTGCAACAGCACGCTCTGTCTCCTTCCAGTACCAGGAGAATTGGCATGGAGATTGGCACGACCTCATCACACCTCCAAGCAGATGACAGTGTTTGCAAACATGGTTTTATTTCCAGGCAGGGCCATGTGGTAATACAAGAAGGGACTGCATGGCTAGGCGAAGGTGATTATTCATGGGAATTTCCATAAACCCATCTCCCAAGTCCAGGAGATCGCCTGGGCTGAAGCCCAGCAGGTACAGGCAGCTCCTCTCTGACAGTAACCTCATCCATCCATTCACAGAGGGTCATGCAGGTAAATCCAGAGACTGGACCTAGCTCTTAGATGGTGCTTTTCACCTGCAACCCCAACTGTTACACAAAGCAGCTCTAGATCACTATTGCCATTTTAGCAATAGGAAAACTGAGATGGAGATTGAAGTATCTTGCAGCAATCCAGGCCCCTGTATCTCCTGAGCTTCAGTCAAGTGGTTCCTGTGTAATTTCCTCTGTCTGCAGAGCTCTCAGCAGCCCCAGGACACTCCAGAGCACTGAGTACCACTACTTTCCTAATTCAACTAGGACTCTTCACTGAGTCATTACCAACAGACAACCTGCAACTGGTTTGCAATAGCAGGGAGGTATCTGGTTTCCTGTGGCTGCACAGACTCTTCCTGTAGAAGACCTGCGAGGAATTAGCTGTAGTCATTAAGAAGGTTCTATAGAAAAAAAAAACACACTTCTGCTGTTCTGCAGAGCTCAGTTCCTCAGTCGCTAAGTAGCAGCAGAAATAACTGAATTTTGGCTTTAGCTCCCCTGTTCAGGCAATAGGTCCAACCTTGAGCAGGGCAGAGAACCAAGCAAATAATACAGCTTTGATACTAGGATACCTCTGACTGAGGAAGACCTGCTGGGGTAAGCGCACCAATCCATCCCATCACCAAAACAAAGGCAGAGAAATGGGTTAGATCCTGCTGCAGGGAATGTGCAGTGGTGCTGGTCAATGCTTGCCTATGTGAAGGTCTCTGCTGGGAGCTGACAAGGGATGGGAGTGGTCAGGTAAAACTCAGTTTTGCTTCTCACAACGCAGTTCACAGACGTCAGGGTTTTCATGCATGGAGAAAGGCTGGTGGGCAGCCAGGAGGTGGGAGGCAGCAGCAGTCGGTACATGCAGAACCTTATTGCTTGTCTCAGTCTTGCTGAACTCAGCTCCAAAATCACCCTTGTTTGCATTTGTGTCCCTGTATCACCTTTCCTCAGGTGCATTATCTGTAGCTTTTTCCCTGAGACGGTACCTTTTCTCTCCTTCCATGCTTAACAACCAATGCAATATACAGAAGGAAAAGTGAACGAAGTTAAATTCAAATGCCAAAGAGGAAAGCTTGGAGTTTTTTTAAAAACTATTTGTTTATATAAGCACTTACTGGAAACAGGCACAAACAGGCCACTATCTGCTCTGAGATACGACAGCACATGTAAATGTGACAGAGTGGAAAAGGTTCTTCCCTGCCAAAACATTCACTGGAGATTCGATAACAAGGTGCCATTGTACAATAGTGGGTGAAGGTTCAGAGGGGGAAGTAGAAACAGAAAAAGCATCTGCGTGGGGCAGGGCTCTGCCTTTGCTGACTACAGCTCCTTCACGGAAATCCTTGCGAGCATCGTTCCATGTCTACGCCAGCTAACCATAAATCCTAAAAACGTGAAGCAGACCCTGCCCCATCCTCACAGGGGATACTCTTGTTTTGATTCTGAAATGAGAAGTAGCTGGTTTCCTGCAGCTAAGGAAGGATGAGAAAGTCTGAGGTGAATTTTTTTGGTTTACAAAGCTCACCTGCTTTTTGTCCGACCCCTCAAAAAATCACTGTAACATTCAATGGACACAGAAAACACTAAGACAAAACCTGTATCTTTAGCCCGACATGATAGCAAGGCTCTTACATAACCCTAGTAAGCATTCTTCAAAACAGTTTTGGTACAAATCAGTCCCAAATTGCTTGAAGGATGTGTTGGAAGCCATATTAGCTTTAAAAAAAAAAAAAAAAAAAAAGAGAGAGAGAGAGAGAGAGAGAGAGAGAGAGAGAGACAAAAAGCCATTAATAGCCATTACTAAGAACATATAGGTTAAGAACATATACGTAGTCAGGTTTGATCGCAGGTAAGAGACATGCTTCCACCATCCTACTGCCACCTCAGCTCCTTTCCCCTCTCTGGGAAATTGCCAATATTTAGCGCGTGGCACGGCTTTAAAAGATATCCAACACCTTGAAGTTCCCCTTAATTGCCCACATACGCTTTTATTCAGCAACACCTTTGAATTTGCCTTCCTGGAGTCGTCTTGAGTGAGGACGGCGGGGCATGACGCACATCAGGTTTCATGTACCGCAGCAAGTCTAATCACACATTGCCTGACTCGGCAAAATTAGCGTGCTGTTTTCTTCCTCTTCTCTTTCCCCTCCCCCTACCCTTTTCAAACAGTGTTGCTTTTAGCTCATTTATCTGCTTATTGGGGTGATATGTAATCGGAGCAGGGAGTCCTGAGGGGAAATACAAAGTGATTCTTTAGAGGGGTTGGCTTCGAAACACATCCTGGGCACTCATGAAGCTAGCGTTATGGTTGCCCTTTTTGTTTGCTTTGCCTCTGCCCCAAGCCTGTCAGCACTGAACAAATTGGGAGAGCATCCAGTAATCTTGCTTTAGTAAAATATATTATTTATGTCAACACTTGACACACATTTGACATGAAGGTAAGGACATAGTCCGACTCACCTACCCACTGTATACTGGACTCTGGTCTACTCTTGCTGTAGCATGACAAAGACCAAAAATCGTCCAGTCCGTTGCCTTTGAAAAATGAGACCTTCTCTGCACACAGAGCCAACGCTGTTAACTTGAATAACAAATCTTTTGACTTCTATAACACCAACACTGTCAGAGACTGAGAATACATTCACTGCTTCATGTGCAAAAGCAGAGCTTCCCTAAAACCTAATTAATCACACTTGGGCCACAACTCTGAAATTAGGTTTATCATGTCTATGCTTTCCAAAAAGACTTGATCCGCTGTGCTCAGAAAGCCTGCCCTAGGAACAATCTAGAAAAGGAAAGAGAAAAGGTCCTGTTACAAATCTTTCTGCAAAATTCTTGTTTAATTAAATCGTTTTCCACACCTGCTTATATGTCCTTCTTGGTAATCCAAGCAGATACTTCCTGTTATTAATCTTCTTCCTTTACAATAAGGTGAACACAAATAATTTTCTCCCTGAGTTCAGATTCTGAAAAGGTATTTTTTCCCCACATGACGGAAAAGAGCTTGCAGAGCTGCTGCTGTGAAGGTGGATGAAATGCTGCAGCGTTTAACTCCATCCATGAAAAACAGCTGGTAGAAGTGCAAATACAAATCAGAAAGAGGGAGGAATGAGAGCAGGTAGAGGGGCTGATGTGTGAATACCTACAGGAGAGCAGGCAACAGACAACAGACCCCAACACATACAGAAAAGAAAGGAACCCAGTACAAAGGCCATTGCACTTCTGCTTTGCGGACTGCACTGAGGCTGTCAGCATCTGTTCCAAATCAGGACACAATTAATGGGCGGAAAACCTACATGTTAGTCAGTCCAGTTGATGTCACTGTCAGTGTATGCCAAGCTATATCATTACTGTGGTTAATTTCAGAAATAAGTTTGCCTTTAAGGAAAAAAAAAAAATCCTCCATTCTGGGTAACATGGCATCTGAAACCAAAAGAGGGTGGAAACTGAGAGCTCGAAGTAAAGAGCAACAGGTGAGGCAACAGGTGCCTGGAACGCACCAGCTGCAGTGAAAGCTAGTTTATTTTGGTTCTGTATTATCATTCACATATAGGATAACTAATTGAATCCCAAACCTGCAACACCATTGACAGGCTGGCAGCACATACCCAGACTCATTCTGTAGGGATATGCATTCTTGAAAACGAGGCTGTAGAAGGAAGACGATGCCAGAGCTGCAATTAAGGTTTTGACTTCGGTGCGCTTACTCCAGACCCTTATACTTGGCGTAAAATTAAGTCAGGGAGAAGACCTGGGAGGCAAAACCATGCTTACTTAATGATGCAACCATTAATAATGCAATCTTCCTTAATGGTGCAGGAGCATTTCCCCGCCAAAGAGAATCCCCAATTTTGCTCTGACTTGTGCAAGGGGCTACAATCAGGGTCAGTGCTTGCACAGACTATGAAAGACATGTTTTCATACACCTACTCCAACAAGGAGTGGAATGCTAGAAATGAACAGGTCAAACCCAGGAGAATTAACAGTTCTCGTGATAAGGGGAGGTAGCATAATGAATTATGCATCTTAAATACCAGTTAAAACAAAATCTTAGGTTCCTTTAATTACATAATTCAAATAGCACCATTTAACAAGACCATGTATCAGTGAACGCACTAAGACTTGTAAATCAGCAAGAAGTTTCCTTTCCATCAGTTTCATACTATTTCTCCGAGAGGGTAGAAATAAAATGAAGTAACTTTGTATTACAGAATTGATCAAAGACAAGTGCCTGTTCATATTACACTGTTCATTAAAGAAATGTTTTCCCACCAAAAAGCATACTGGAGATTTCAGACTAGCTTTTTAGGGGTTGGGGAATGGTCCATTATGCATCATGCAACCTTTATATCTGCTAGAAGTTTGGAACAAATATTATTGTACTGTTTAAAATTGTAATAGTATGACTGCATACACCCACATACTTCAGCATCAGAAATACCAAGAGAGATTCAAAAAAAAAGCAGCACTGAGAATCTTGTAGGATTCAGAGGGAAAAAAAAGCAAAGCAGAACTTACCTTTCTGTAACTAATACTAGTATTTGCCTTTCTTGTTTTTCCAGATATCAAGAGACAAGTCTATATATACGATCCTGCAAATCCAAATACAATACAGGAGGCTATCTGGAGAGGGACCACTTTCTGTGCTGACATATTTGCACTACAACAACATCAGACCAATCTCATAAAGCCTGTACAAACAAGCAGTATATACAGAATGCTCACTGAATATGTTAGAGGTTTGTCGGATTGGCAATTGAAGTACTGAAAGCAATACCCTTCCCTCTAACTTAAAAAGAAAACACATATCATGTAGATTATATTTTATTTTTTTAAAAGTTTATAAAATCTTGACCGGAATGTAGGTAGCAACATTTTTTTTTAAATTATTCCTCAAGTATGTATGCTGCAACTGCCCAAACCAATCCTCTGCCATAAGGTAAGTTTTCTTTACAAGCTTTAAATCATCGCTGTCACAACAGCCAGTTCTGCCTATTGAAAAGAGCTTCTCTGAAGCCTGTATTGACGTGACTCCGCATAAGCTTACTATCACTGGTTTATTTATTATCGTAACTTCCTTTTCAGATATCCTTAACCTGGAAGCATTTTATCCCCCAGCATTTTAGATCTGAGCATCTCAATGATCTCGGGGAAATAAAGAACATGGAAGAAAAAGGAGTAAGATAAAATCACCTGCAATATGCATTTGCAGACAAGTTATAAATTATTGGAAACTAAATTAATAGGTACATTAGAAGTGCAAGATAGCAGTATTTAGAAAAAATGGGTTTTTCATGAGAACAGCAGCTTAGTCCTACTCAAACAGGACTCCACAGAAAAAGGAGGAATTAAACATGGGAACTTCAACTCCTTATTTCCTTTGAAGTATACATCCTTCCTTATTTTTATTTATGCCCATTGCCTTCAGTCATCCAGTCTCTAAACCGCTTCTCCATCAAGCTTCTGGCTCTCCAGTCACCAACATTTACAGTGGGGATGATTTTCTGTGGCTTCAACCATTGAACAAAACGCTTCATTTCTAGGTAACTGCTGTGTTCGCTGTAAGGAATCCCTGAAATGAAACAAATCAGAGAGATCTGTCAGCCTACTTAGCTTGTTGCAAAAATACTTTCAGGAAGACTTCCAGCTAATACTTTAAATAATGTTTTAATTCAAACTGAAGATCTAAAGTTTATAGCAAGGGTAAAATGAAAATCCTGGCTTTATTACTGGAAAAAATACGTAGCATTCATTTACCAAGTCAATTATCAAATTGAGCAACACCTAACATTTGATTAAATGAATGTTAAATTTTTAAAAGATTTAACTGCACCTGCAGACTAAAACTAGGAGGAGGAAGAAGGCCCACACTCTCTGAAGTGGGATGAGATATGGAATGAAATCCTGACTCTGGAACCACACTGCCACCATCTTAGTGGGGCCAAGACTTCATCCCTAAAGTCTTTGTTTATATTAGAAAAAAAACTTTTAGTTGCAAGAGGACAGCAGGAGAGGAAAGTATGTATTTACAGTGTTTTGGATTACTCAGTCTACAGACCTGTCCTGGAGAGATCCACCTGTTCGGTTTCTCACAAAAAGAGTTATCAGAAAGCACTGGTTACAATGGACAGTAGGAGTTTCCCCAAATAAAAATATGAAAACCATCCATACAAAATTAAATGCAGTGAATCTTTACCACACTTATACCATATATGGTGATCCTTCCTCTTGTCTGAGGTTTGATGTCCACCAGAGAAAGGCATGAATCCGAGTAGGTCCACCCAGTAGGTTTGAAAGCCAGAACTTGATCAAAATTTTCAGAAAACTTATTCAAGTGATCTTGCAAACCCTGTTAAAGGAATACAGCATATACTGAAACCTATTAAATAGCTCTTTAGTCTAAAGGGTTGGGGATTTGGTAATGAAGAGACTTCAGACTACATTTTATTTTCATGTTTTGGTAAAGAACTTTCTTTTAATACTATTGGCCTTCAAACTAATGACGACAAATATCTACATTTGCAGAGTACCTTATACCTTAGGATCTCAATTGCTTCAGCTGAATAAAAACATATTAATAGCTGTGCATTACAGATCAGAACACAGAAGGCATAGTCACATCATCTTATAGATCTTGAGGGAGCGGTATAATTGCCCCCAAGCTATTCATTTCCTCCTCTCAGCTGGAGGTCATCACTCTAGCAGCTGAGTTGTGATAAAAGACTGTGAAAGCCTGTTTCAGTAAAAATCATCTGGTTAAAAGCGCCACTGACATTCTGACATCTGCCTGTGCCCAGAAGCACTCAGAGATTTAGTAAACTAGTAAAAAACCTCACAGCAAGTCAGTGCATGAGCTCAGTAAGGAATCTAGGTCTTGCTCTGACCACTAAACCATGCTTTACCACACCTCCAGTCACGACAGGAAGGAAATCACCTCTCATCTCTTCACTTTAAAAAAAAAAAAACAACAAAAACAACAAAAAAAAACAACTTGAAACTTTTTCAAGTTGGCTAAGTTAGCCTTCAATATTGTTTAAGCTAGGATAGGGAAAAGGATGAGAAGGAAGTACAAGGAATGTGCAATCCTACTTTTGGATAAAGTGAAGTCAATATTATTTCAAACCAAAAATAGAAAATCTATTTCATATGTCCTGTGTAAAATCTTAAAGGCACATTCTCCATTTGAAAGTCCAAGATTTTAGCTCTCCAAAGCATAAACATTATGTCAGCAGCAGGCAGAGGAATGTAAAATAAATAAAGATTGCCAAAAGAAAGAAAAGCTGCAACAGAACACGAACTAACATGTCTGACACTTGAAAATTTTTGAGCAGGGAAGTGGAAAGCTGCCTGGGACGCTGCCACATTTAACAGCACTTTCAATACAATGTCCAGTAGCAACATACAGGGCCTATTAAATTGGACATATTAAAGAACAACGAAAAAACCTACCACAACACACATTTCATTCAGCAACAGGAGTCATGACTAGCCTCCACAAATCTTAATGCACTGCAGAAGTCCAGTGTTCACTAGTATAAAAATACAATTGCAGCATTCTACTTCTCCGTAACATTTTATTTTAAAAGGACCAACACAGCATAAGGGAACAATTCACAAAACTACATTTGCTCACTTGCCTCAGTGAATGCTCTACTTCAAATACAATGATCATGGTATTAACCAATGGATCAGGTGTGCAATGTTAACATTAAGGATGCGATTTCAATCTCAAAAATTATTGGTGCATTTCAATCACAGTCATTTTTGAAAATCTCACCTTAATGATAGCACATGACATTACCAGGATAAGCAATGCAGAAGAGGTGCACAGACAGTGCATGTGCCATGAAGACTTAAACTCTCTGGAAATGTTCCACTGCATATTCAAGTGGCAGAAATCTTTACTCTTCACTGTTAAAAACAGTGGTTTGTTTGTTGCAAAAGAAATTGTATATACATTTTAGAAAAAGATGTCCTCTTTCCAGGAAACAAAAGACTACAGTGCTTATTCATAATAAGTACATTTCAAATATACCTTTCAAGTTCTTTTATTTCGCTAGCCAACACTGTTCTAACACCTCTCTCCTTTTAAAATGGAGAATACATTTCACTGCTAAATCAGCCTCCTTCAGTCACCATGACAGCCTGTTATCTACAGCGTTGCTAATGTCAGCAGCACATGCAAGTGGCTTCAGTATGGTATGAGAAGGCTCAAACATGATTAAATGGTTAATTCTTAAGGAGTTCTAACACTAAATCCACTAAATCCACTTAGCTTATTCAAAAGGACCTATTCATAAGTACATGCAGTGATCCCTGTATTTTACTGGGGTAAAACCAACCATTGCAGTGAAATATCACATCTTTTTAAATTAGTATTTTTTTAATCTTTCCATGTATCACATCCACTTTCAATATTGCAGCAATTAATGTTTTATTTGTCCTTTGTTCAACAAAGGATATCCGTTAAGAACATCCAGAACATGAATCCAGAGCATGTCATCTCACTTTTGACCCAAGTAGTATCTGAAGAAGGTTATACTTATATCCCTGACTTTCTGTAGCAGTTTATTTACAGGATTGGATGTGATTGTATTTATGGTAAAAAAAACAAAAACAAAAACCAAAAAACAACAAAAAGCAGCAGTATGACAACATAAAAAGCTTATTTCTCTGCCACTGATCCCCTGATGATTTTTCTTTCTACTTTTACTCCTCAAACTTCACACACATTAGCCAAACACTAATTTTCAAGCACTGGTTCTCTTCAACGGGACAGTCATAAGGCCTGGATTAAGTACATTACATCTGCTGATACTTGGTCAGGTATTCAATATTACAGATGGGACTGCTTTCATCCTAACTACAGATGGAAACTATCCATACAAATTCAGCTGGACAAGGATGTTATTTATAAAGCAGAAAAGATATATCTTCTTTCTAAATTCGGACTTACTTCTTTAGCAGAAGATTTTTGGGACACTGATACAACTCCTGGTGTAATGACAGAATACCGCCCAGGATTCATTATTCAAGCAAATGTTTGAGGATAAAAAGCAACAGAAGCATTTGAGCCAGGTAACAGTCTCCTCTGGTATGGATGCATTTGTACAGAAGCACGCACATCTTTACGCAGGCAGCTCAAGTATGAAAGAGAAGTACACTGTGCACTAGATTAGTTGCCAAGTATCTGGCTAAGTGAAAAGCTAGGGTCTAGCAAACGTAATTCTGAGGATGCTGTGGGTTTACAGAAATCAGCTTTCAACTTCTGTCACAAAACCATTCAGTGAGTAGCCTGTTTTTCATACTGGATTTAACACAACTATGGTCATCACCCATTTTTGTTCAGCAAAAGGTACCGGCACTAAAAAAACAAAAAATAAATAAAAATAAAAATAAAATCTGTAAACTCTAGTAACTGGGAGAAAGATGGCCAAAGAGGTTTAGTGGTTTCTGTACTTTTCAAAGTGCCTGTGAATTTTAGGTGAGCACTCTCAAAACAGTGTCTATAAATCATATGTGAACAGCTAAGCTGATTGCGCACAAATAATAAAACAGCTGACTCCAAAATGAAAAATGAAAAAACATGTTTGATAATACACCTGAAAAATCAACAAGGAAAAAAGCAGATTTCAAATAACTCCAAACCTGGAACAGCTGGCTGCCACTAAAAGGGGGGGGGGGAGAATCACAATAACCTATAGAGACTGCAAAATACTTCTAAAATTCTGGAATACGTATTTAAATATATATTTTTACAAGATAAACTCTATAGTTATATACATTGTGTATATATAAACAGAGAGTTATAACTTATTTCCCATCAATTTGGAGAACTGTCATCACTGGAAACTTGAAGGTCAAAAAAAAAATGCCTATGATTACAGCAGAAGGCCTGTGAGCAAAGTAAAGGCAGAATCTTCTTGTAACAATGAATGCTTTTTTGTTAAGAACTCATGAGTCAAATTAGTCTGTTCCCTGCCAGCTTGAATTAATATTTGCCAGATAGGTGCAAATTAGACTCAAGTGGGTAGAAAGGAAAGCTGAGGCCATCTACATTTGATCTTGGGAACTCTCAGCTGCGGAAACATAGAAGTTTTCCTTGGGCAGGTACAGTTTTATGACACAAACTAGACTTCAATCATGGTAAGCTTGTGTAGTTTATGCAACTTCTTTTTAGTCCCTTATCTAGAAACAGGTCAGATAATTTTTTTTTAGTAATGTAAGGCAGAAGTATCAAGCATACAATTCTTAGAACTATCGAGCCTGGAGCAAGAGAGTATTAGTAAAGAGCCTAACAAAAAAAAAAAAAATCCTAGGGTATAAAACTGGAGCTTCTAGGACCTACTATAATACGCCATCAGGGTGTGGCTTTTTGCATTCTACTAAAAAGGTAATGGATGTATAAAATCACAGGTGTACTCAATTTGCTAAATAAGGACTGAATCCTATCTTTTGACTGAGAGTACTCCCATAAGGATTCCACAGATGAATAGGTTTCTCAGCTTGAAACCACACGAGTAGGAAATTAGCCTGAAGTAAGTAGGGTTGAGTTCCTAACTAGAGCTAGGGACCAAATAAAACACAAGAGGTAGGAGAGACCTAGAAGGGAATAATGGCTAAGGCTTACGCCACCGAAAGCTATTTGGCATTTAGTGTTGAGGACCACTAACAGATTCTGTAGCGAGTCAGTAATCAGGACAAAGCTTGTGTAATCCAGCACAGCCGGAGAAAAACGCACAACCGCAGATGACAAGAGCAACGTTTATATGGCCTATAAAAACAGGATGATATCATTCACTGTTCTTTAACAAGGGACAAGTGACCAGATAATGCAGTCTCAAAAAATATTGTATTTCTGAGTTCATGTTTACCGATGTTGCTGGAGCAGACAGATTGATTTCTTACAGCAGTTATCTTTAAACATTTAACATTCTCCACATCTTACTGACACTACGTATCACCTGGGTATTCGTCTAGTTATTGGCCTCCTTGGAAGATTAGCACTCTGGAAGTCCACTCAGCATGACTAGCTTATATGGACACAATATTACTAATCATAGCTGGAGATCACATTCAAACAACTTCATGTATGAAGTTAAAGCCCCAGTACAGATTACTGCAGCTGTTACACCAGGACTCTACTGCCTCAGTCCGCAGGATGGTTGTGCCTTTAGCTTTTCCTGGACCTGACCAGGGTCCAGGTATCGCTCCTGGCAAGCTGCGGATATGTCTAGAATCTCCATTCTGAGAGATGAGACCCTGCCACAAACATACCCACCTCCCTCTGAGAAGTAAAGCTGTCTAGACATCCTTGCAGTTTAAGCATACCCTCTGCCAGAAGTCCAACTGCGTATTCGACATGCACAGGAATACATCATAGCAGTATCACATAACAAACAAACTCTGTGCAAGAAACTATAACATACTGCTGTTTAATAAAGACAACAAAATACATTGAGCTAAACATAACAAATCTGTATGCATTTCCATTACTCATTTTCTGCTCCACTATGGAAAATATTATAGAATAAGTTTAAGTCATTAAGATACTAAGTTCCTTCTCCTGCAGCTTCTGTCCAAACTATATAGCCTCTTTTTTCTCCTTTTTAGGTCAGCTCTGACCTTGGCTGGTCCTGCAGCTCACTACTATGTTGTTATGAAGGATTTGCTTGAGCTCACGCAGCAGACCTGGGGCAGAGCTGGAAAATTAATCCGAGTCAGAAAGGCTGAAGCGACCAATGTTTTTCTCTCTCTTTCTGACTACCTTTAAACTAGAGCCTGCTGCTTTGCTTTAACGCCATTCTGTATTTTGGGGTCTATTTATAAATTCGTTTTCCCAGGAATCAGTCACCTTTCCCAACTAAGGAATTCCCACAAAAATCTCCACAATGAAATCACAATGTCTCAATTCTCTTGAACAAAATGTCATCGAAAGTCAGCTAAGATGAAATAGTATCTTAAACAAAAAAAACTGTTTTACTTCCTTTTGCTACAAGTAGCAGAGAAAATTCTTGTATGTGCAAAAACTAAAGAATGTATATGTATGAGGTGTCCTTCAACCCACCTACTGCATGCACTTGTTTGTGTATGACTTTTCACTGGTTTTCAAGTATCCACATCCCCAGGTCAATCTTCAGCATAGGAAGAGAGAGAATATTCTTTTAACTGCTGAAATTATGATTGCAAAGCCATGGAAATAGAACTGAGAGGAACACGGAGAACCCAATTCTTTCATTACATTAAGAAACAGATTAGAAGCTTGCAATGTTCATGGGCTGCCTCTAAATAAAGAGGCCTTCAGGTAGAAAATCCTTTTAGTCTTCTCATACAAGGTAAAAGGCAGGCTGAAAACAGGGACCAAGTGTCACACTATATTAATTGTTAATAGGAAGGATCCTGCAGTCATTACATAAACCTACTTCAAAAAGCCCGGCAAAGAGCAAGCCTTTGAACAAATCTCATCTTGTATGAGAACTGCATTAATTTGAAATTACACTTTCTGTGCATCATGTTTGAAGACAGTTATTAACACTTAATTGCATCTCATTTTCAATGTATTGCTATATGTCAAAACTTGACTAAATAAATGTGATCTGACAGGAGGTTAAAAAGCAACAGACTATAACATAGGTTGGGATGAGCCAACAATAAGGTTTGCCATCAGGTCAATCAACATATTGTATTTTCTAAACTTACCTTAAAATTAATTTGCATCATGGGAAGAACGTGAAGCAAACTATCATCCCAATCCATACTGATGAGGGAATTAACAGCTGCTGACTCCAGGCACTGCAACGTTTTGTACTTGTCACGGGACATACTTGCTTTTGAGCCCAAAACTTCAGCAATCGCTTTAGAACAAAGTACAAGAAAAAAAAAAAAGCAGGATAAAGAAAATTGGAAGTAAGAGTTCTTATGTTACTTGTCTTGGAAATAGTCCTAACTATTGTACCGGAACATTTTTACTATTGAAAAAAATCCATATTCAACAAGATACAATATTCCATGTTCTAAATTTTAGAGCAGAAAACTTATGTTTTTAAAAATACATGGGCTCCTATATTCTAGCCCCAGAATTCTGTAGGACAATTGGAAAGAGAAGCAGAACAGAAGTTTACTCCTGTTTCAAGTTGTGTTTCTTTGGTAAAATGTTTTTGAGGTGAAGTGGTATTTATTTCAAATAAGCTATAACCATGTCTACTTTTTGGAATATGAATTTCAGAGAAAGTCTTGCACTGATCATTCTAAAATCTACTCAAAAGCATAAACAGTACACAGCTGTCTGCTCTAAAAAATACATTCAGCTAATCTTTATGGTTTCTAATGCTGTAATTGAGTGAAGCATAGCACATAGATGATTTCCACTGAGACAGAAAAGATGCGTTTTGTTTTTGGGAATGCTTTGTTAAAATTGATTCTATTACAACTGGTTACTATAAGTATTTACAAAAATACAAAAAATAAACCTTGAGGGAAAAATGTGCTAACACGATAGATGTTTAACAATAATTAAGATTCCCCCTTTGCTGTCTCTTGACAATACTTGAGATTATTAAAACCAAAAGCATCATGAAGATCTCATTTATGCTTTTTAAATTATTACCAGTGCTTTCCTCACCACCAAAGCTGTTCATTCGCCTTAGCATGTGAATAGATATTTTGTACATTCTAGGGGTTCTAAACATGGCAGAAAAACATTTCTTTCAGAAGGCTAAAGCTGAAGGAGGGAGAAGAAATACTACCGGCAGAATCACTACATGCATTTATTTGCTTTATGCAACATTTGACCATCAAGCCTAAGATACCCTGTATATCTTTTAAGGAAAAAGTCATTTAACACTGATTCGGATGGGTATTTAGTCATTCGATCTAGTACGCTTATTTTACATACCTAAAAAAACTTTTTCTTTTCCAATGGAATAGGTGCCACAGACAACTAGAGTACGTGGGTTTAAAGTTACTGTCTCAAAGGCAGTATTGACAGCAAACTGGATAACTTCTTGTTGAGAAGGAAAAGTATATTCAGGACTACAGTATCTGAGGCATAGAAACAAGATGTTATGTAACTACTTTGTTATACAAGATGAAAGGCATATTAGTTTACCTAAAAGACCTTCAAAACTGCATGCACAGAGTAACACAGAAACGAAAAAGGTGTTATCCATCAATGTAACTTCAAAATGTTGGCAATCTATTTGTTAGAAAACACTTGAGGTATCCAGAGGAAATTGTTGCAATAAAATTTATGTTCCGTATATGCACACTTTTCTATATAACTGTTCACTTGTCTGAAACTGACGCTGAACTGTGTAGTTTTTTTCCGCTATAAAAACCAAGTGCTCTTTCAAGCTAGATATTTGTATCACATACTAATTACATCCTTATGTCTATTTTTTGTCAGGCACACAAACCATAACATAAAACATTATTCATTTACAGAAACATAAGGAACAGAAATAAAAGACTGCAGCTGGGCATTAGTCATCATATACAGAACAACAATCTTACATAGATGAGTCAGAGAAAGGTCTAATGAAAACCTGGACAACTGACTTAACCATTTGGCATTCTTTCACTCTGAATTTTCTTTTTCCTTTTTTCCATAATAGATCTGAATCCACCTAAAACCATTTGCTCCATAAACTTCTATTTTTAGAGTCAAACAGTCCACATATGAACTTTGACATCTAGAATTTAACACCACTTATAAATATAAGGCCACCTCAACAAATACTTTGGCAACTTTTCCACCACCCACCTTTATTCTCACTCCTGTAATAGCATAACAGATGAAGAGGCCAGACATACACGGACTTTTAATAATTATCTAATTTTACATAACACTGAACGCACCTCATGAGTGTTAAAAACAGAAAGGTCATTCATATTACAATTTATCTGATTCATATAAAGTCTTACTCAACTGAAAAGAGGGTTATACTGAATAAATAAATAAATAAAAAAAAAGAGAGAGACTTACGTGGTATCAAGGTAAAGGGTATGGACTTTTCGACCAATCAAAGGAGGATAGCGCTCCATAGAAGGATCTGCCCTAAAGTCTCCTGTGTGCAGAATAACATTTCCACTAGGTAGACAAAAAAGGATCATTGTTGCACCTGGACAACTAGGGGGGGAAAAAAAAGAAAAAGAAAAAAAAAAACCATCCACATACACTGTTAATTCTCTATATCGATGAACTGCCTTAAGATAAGAGAGGTAGTGCCCTTAAGTAGCAGGAAGGCACAGAGAACAGAATTTTAAATCACAGCTACTATGCAGCCCAGGTTTGCTAGAAATTCCTATTTTCTAAAGGAATTCTAAAGCTATCCTCATGACCATTGACAAGCTACCTTGACTTTTCAGCTGAAATGGAAAGAAGAAACATGCACCAACAGTAAAGTAATCAAGCATTAACTGCCTTTTTAGGATGCCCTGTCTTCCTCCAGGCATGACTGCCTCAGTTCCAATCTCTGTGGTTCCATTAGACTTGATTTAAAGGGGAAACAGCAACTAAAGACAAGATACAATTCTATTTCTCCAAAATAAGAAGGTATTATTGCAAATGCCATCTTCACTCCCGTAGAACTTACTGAAGCATTTGTTTTTAAATTCTGTTTGCAGATTTTAAACATTATCCTCCATCCAGAACTCACTGGTAATAAACACAATTCTTTTGTGGGCCACAGCCACAGGGAGTGCTTTGCACCTTCTGCAGTTCTTCACTAAAGGAGGGCAAGTGCTCCGACTGGGAAATGAGAGTGGGACTATTTTGGACATGAATCATCTGTAAAGGGTAAACAAAATCTCAAAAAGGAAACACTTGTCAAGAATCAGAGCTAAAATGACAGAACTGGTAAGCTCTCAAAATCCGTGAACTTTGTACCTAGGGTTTATTTGCCTTTTAAATTGAAGCAAGGGATCGAGGAGCGAATTGGGAAAAATGAGAAGTGTCCAAATTACATAAGCAACAAGGCTTCTTTCATTCCCAGAAAGGGTTCTCAAAGGACTTCACGGAATCTTATCTCTCTAACTATAAACAAAACCGAAGATAAGTAATATTCAAACCAGCTGTGACACAGTGCATTTCAATATATGCTTTAGAGAAAGACTTTTCTTCTATCCCATAGCCAAATAAGGCACCAAGAGGAAGAACGGCAAGGGCACAGGACCGGAAGCCAGAAGCTACTGAATTCTAATTGCAATAGTACCATAAATACTGCCAATATGAACCTGGGCAAAATCTTATCCTTTTGTCATTGAATCCAATAAAAATCTTGTTATATATTTCAGCAAGGTTTACTTTAGAGTACAATTTTTAAATTGTTGGTTAGGATAGTTGGATGAAAATCTACCATGATCCAAGGTACCACATTTGTCTTTAGCTGAAGATTTCACTATCTTCAGTTGAAGCTACAGAAACCTGACGTATCTGAAAATCAGGTCTAGGATGTTCCAAACTAGACACCAAAGACTGAAGTGTCCAGACTACTAGAAAATCATTCAACGTCTCAGCAAATGTAAAAAGTTAAGGAACCGTGTATGGATGAGAGCATGGACTCATTACAAGCAAACAAAACAAAGTTATCAAAGAAAAGCCTAGGTTTCATTTTCAAAAGTAATTCAGCTATTTCAAAAGCTATCTACTTGCAAGAAATTTAAGACTCCTATGTGCCTAAGGCAATTCGGAAATAAAAATTCGTGTTATTAAGTTAACTTGAGTATCTGAAGTATTTTTAGCCTTAATTTTTCAGGTCCACTGAGGCCATCAGGGCCCTGAAATCATAAAATGCATACATATAGCTATTTGTCTTTAATATTCTATAGATACAAACACTGCACCACAGATGCAATGATACATACTGATTGGCATCAAGCAACAACACTTTGATCCCATTCACTATACATTCTGTGTCCATCGGCAACACATGGATGTACTGCTCTTCGACTCGAAGTTTGCTCTTCACCAGATTGCCAGTTATCTGTAACAGCAAAAGGATTTAATATAAAATAGAAAGAAACAAAATCTCTTAAAAAAAGCCTTTATTTATTTTAGAAACAAAGGCTCCCTAACCCAGACAGTCTGGCTCAGAGAGAAACTATGAGATCCTGGGTATAATCAAGCCTTTCAGTAGCATTTCACCCCTCAAAAAGTAAACTGAGAAAAAGCTGCCTTTTGTGGGGGGAGGGAGGCAAGCAAACTTTTTAAAAGCAAACTTTAAAAAGCCTGTCAAGAAGTTATGGATCAGAATCAGTGAGGAGGCCCCAAAAGGATGAACAACGTGGCAAACATCCATCCATTACAAATTGCCCAGGCAAGAAGCAGAGGTGGACCAAGCCTTCTCCGAATAACTGAAGAAGTTTCCAAGTCACAGGCCTGGAGGACTGTAATCACCCCAACACTTGCTGGGAGGGCAACATGGTGGGACACAAGCAATCCAGGAGACTTCTGATGTACATCAGAAGAGTTTTTTGATGCTGGTTCTGTACGGATTGATTAGGTGAGTTGCTCTACTCCACCACGAATAAAGAAGAGCTGCTGGAAATACAATGTTCAATGGTAGCCTCAGCTGTTCAGAAGCCTGAATGAAGCACAGGACACACAGGATCAGGCTAAGACAACTGCATTTACTTAACGTGGAGAAGAGATGGCTTAAGGAGAATCTCATTGCAGTCTTCCACCACCTGAAGACAGTGATAGAGAAGACGGAACCAGATTCTTCTCCATGATGCACACAAAAAGAACAAGAAGCTATGGCTACAAGTCACAAAAAGGGACATTTTGGTTGCATATAAGGAAAACGCTTCACAGAGTGGTTAAGCACTGGAACAGGTTGCCAAGAGAGGTTCTAGAAACTGTCTTCAGATATTTTCAAAATTTGACTAGCAAAGCTTCTGGTCGATCTGATCCAACTGTGAAGTTACCCCTGATTTGAGCAGGAGATCGGATTATATGACCTCTAGAGGACCCTTTAAACCTAAATTTTTCCATGTTATCTACTTAGGGAAATTTCACTAATCTTCCTTATCAGACAAATCAGGGTAAGAAGATCTCATACAAGAGGATCCCAGGTTCATCTATACAAATACTGTGCCTACTGCACCAACAGTGGAACCTCTGCTCCTATATGTATTATCATCAGTATAAAAGTGATTGTAGTTGCATATGTATTGGTTAATATCTAGTAATCTTGGAAAAATCTTACCTTATTACAGTAGATTGGGAATATGAAGTTTTTTGTTAGCCCACAATAGTGATCAGAGTGAAAATGAGTGAGGAAATAGGCTGTACAGCCTTCAATTTCTCCATACTGGAAGGCATCGACTGTAAAACCAGTTCCTACAGAAAAAGCGGAAGTCAGTCAGTAAGTACGCACAGTTCAGAACTGTTTTCTATTTAGATTTTCTTTTTCTTTTTTTCCTTCCTCCTTCTTTTTTCCCAAAAAGGGAAATATAGTTAAAAAAGGGACTACAGTTACAAGGTATACAATTAAAGAAAGTATTTAAAGATGAACATGATTTGCACGTTAGTTAACGGTCACAAAAGAGATTTTCATTTATTAAAATAAAGTATAACAAAACGTCCACGCACAAACAGCTTCACAGGCCACCCAAATATCTTCTGTTCAAATGCTGTCTTTCACAGATGGCAACTGGTTAAGCAAAATACATTTATCTATATTCAGCTTCCATTTTTGAAAGTCCATGTGGATTAAAGCCTAATACCAGCATCTTAACACAAAATACAATATAATAACACAAAATATAATGGATAACTACAGCTTAACAAAATATATTTTGCAGTTAAACTGTAGTTTTTCAGCTATTATGTTTAATATTCCTCCTGAAACATGCTACTATGTAGTTATCAAGCAAGCGATCTGAGGTCTTAGAATACATCTCCTGAGATAAAAACTTCATTAATTTGTTATTGCATGTATTCAATGAGGCATTGTTTGTATAAAGTTGTTGCATAAAAACAGTTGTACAAAAGATAGTCCTTTTCTCTGCAAACTTTATGTATTTTTTTTGATTCAAATATACTGAACGGTCCTTTTACATTTGGCTCAACTTTCTTAAAGCCACCAAATACTGCACAGAATTAATCCATCTGCTGGCACTCAAATGCTTTTACTATTATTCTACCCAGATTGTCCAGATCTTCCAAATAGTTTTATTTACTTGAGACTAGAAGTTTAAGTATTTGCATCTCCAAAAAAAACCACAGTGGTCTGGAAATTAAAAAACAAAACCAAAAGATCCCCAACAGTTTGAGAAGTACCAGATTTGAAACTTCAATGAGATTGAATTATAGTAGGCCGTGGGATAAATGCATATCATTAGCAATACAGAAAATGCAGTTAAATATACTTCAAACGTAGTAACAAAACTCAGAACAAAAGCGTTATAGAGATGATAACAAATCAACTTGAAAATTTCACTGTAGGAGTAGACCCTTCAAGTTTATTATACATGGTAAAAATCTCTCAGCCCATGGAACCCATGATCCTGGTGTAACTCCACAAAGGCTTAAAGGTCAGTCTTCAAGTAGCAACTACGCATTTAGGATGACTAATACATTTCTACTTTGCTTCCTCAAATTTCTATCTGGGATGCTAAAATCAGCCTGTACAATTAAGATAGTCCTTTAACGGTAAGCTGAACTGTGAGGGTCTGAAGTTTTTTAAGCTGCCAATCCATTAGCAACATCCTGTATCTCTGATAATTACTTCAGGGCTAAATTCTTCTCTTTGGCTTTCATTTCTTTGTTTTCACAGTTGTAGCACTTAATATTTTTAATACTACTTGGGAATTTTAATACAAAATGAAACTCAGTTTTTTTATTTAGTGTAAGGAAATAATTGCTATTGACAGACTTCTTTTCCAGGCACAAATGAAGTTATGTAAAAGTCAAGTCTGGGAATTCAAAGAAGGGAATATTAAGGAGAAATACATTAAAAGTAATTTAAGAAAGAACATCTGTCTTTCAAAACTGCTTTTGTTTCTTACTCTCTTAAATACACTTGAAAATCTGTCTTTGAAGTCATTTTTCAGAGATAATTATTTCACTATACTTTACTGACAAAGCCTTTGATGATTCTCATTCTGCCATCAGCTACTGGAGACCTACATTTTCACAAAATCCGATTGACCTAGGTGGGGGAAGGAAAACTCATTAGGGACTGGAGTCCCTAGGGACAAATAGTTACGGAGAGTAAAGAATAGAGCCTAAAATTATGGGGGAAAAAACACAACACTCCAGTCGGATTAATTAATCACTACAAAAGCAGCAATTATCTCTCACCTGGTATTTTCTTGTAGAAGGGGCACTGTTTTTTTCTTGTTCCTTCCCCTGTACCAGATGAGTCTCTAAATTTTTTTCTCCACCTTCGTTGGCCACCGGAACTTGCATCTGCAAAGACTCCATTTTTATTTGAACTTTCTGTAACTGCTTCTACATCCTCCACAGATCCTTCAGCTTTCCTTTTGCGTTGTCTGGGCCTCTTTCCATTGGGAGTAACTGGACTTGATAGCTGCGTTCCTTCACTTGAACACGTCTCTCCTTTGCTTTCCTCTTTTGCTTTGGGTTTTAACCCAAAGAAAACACCAATGTCCATTTGTTTGAGTTCTCTGGCAGAACTGGATTTGGCATTCATTCTTGCTAAAGAAACAAGCTGCACTGTTTCAGAGATTGGGCTGGGACAGCATACAGCAGCTGCATTAGGAAGAGTTCCTTCTTTCTCCATCACTGACTGCAAACGCTCCTGACACACTGCTTTTTCAATTGTGTTAGCAGTCATTTTATCTGTACTAGTTAAAAGGTTATGTGGGTCCTTCAAAACATTACTTTTCTCTGACAGGAGAGACTTAGCACCTTCTCTGACTTGCAGCAATGGCATATCAGTAAGAGCCATATCTGCAGAATCGAAAGCAAAAGCACAAATGTCTTTTGACTCTTTATTACCTGCATTAGCAACAGAGGAAATCAATTCTGACTGTTCAACCTCCTCCCTAATTATATCATAATTAAGAGGAAAAGAGGATTCTGTGGTTAGCACCTCTTGCTGATGCTGATTATCTACACATGCTGAATTAGAGAACTTGCTGTTGATGTGACCCTGAGAAACAGTTTTTACACTATGATCCACACGGACTGATAAATTTACTTTCTCATAGTGTTCTTTTTCTGTTGTGAAACCTCCCATTTTAATACACTCATACTGATGTGCCTGTTGCAAGAGAAGCCCATCAAAATTTTTAAACAACACAGAATTAGATTCTTCATTTTCAGAGTTCTGGACTCCAAATAATTTCTTTTGTGATGTTTTCACCTTCTCCTCCTCTTCCTCAGTTTCCTCTTCGCTTTCCTCACAAGTACTTAGTGGTGAATATGAAATTTCACAGTCACTGAAGTCAGCTTTTGACTGTAGCAGACTTAGCTGACTTGTTTCTTTCTGACTATCCAGATCTTCTCCTGTTTCACTTTCTTGAGAGGATGCAAAGTCATAAAATTCAAATTTGCAACTATTATCTGTAGTCTGTGTGAACTGAAGTGTTTGTTGAGGCCTCTGAACATTTGCAGAAGAAGTACTTTCACTGGTTACATTCAGAGATTTCATTTGTGTTGAACTCTGTACCGTCAACATACGCTCATCATTTGGGACATTACTGGATGACTTCTCATTCTGTGAGACTGCCTTCACAAGAGTTGGGAAACAGCTGGACTCTGCAGCAGTAGAACATGCGATCTTCCTCTCTGAAGTATATATTGAAGAGTTTACAAGATAATCTCCTGCCCTGCTTGCTGCAAGTAGAAAATGGGTATAGCGCTTGTAGTGGGATGGAATGGTGGAAGTGCACAGCAAGCCATCAGGACACTCTGTGAAAAGTTAAGCAGAGAAGCACTGTTAATACCGTTGCAAAGATATTCACTTGGCATAGATATTAAAATAAAAATTATATACGACGTTTCATTTAAAACTTTTTCTTATACATGCAGTCATTAGAGGATAGAAGGCACATCTACAAAATAATTTGCAATAAGCTAAGAGCTCCTGCCCTAAGGTGGCTAGAAGTAAGACTGCTTCCAACAGTGTTGTCTGTGTAAACAAAACACTAAGTGTGAACTAACACACCCATCTAACAAGAAGGGTATGTTAGCTTGTTCCAGTGTGCTAGCATAGTTATACAGCCTCTAGTTGAGAGCAACCTCATGTGCAAGCAATGAGCTCAGAGCAGTAGCACTGCAAATGTCAAAATAAACCAAATCTACGTTCTGAATCAACTTGCAATTCCATTTCAAAGTTGTCTGTTGGGTTACACATTAAATACATAAAATAAGATTTAAAAAGTAATTACTTCTGTACAAAAAGCATTCAGGATTCAGATGCCAAGAACAGTTCAATGTTGTTCCTTAAGACTTTTTTGTTGATAGTTTGCTGGCTTAATTTTTGAGAATTTAAAGGTGAATGCCCAGAAGAAATCAATCAGACAGATTTTTCACTCCCGCTTTCATACGGGAGTAGGAGATGAAAATGAGATGTTAACATCTGCCTTAAGTCAAGGCCACCAGCAAACTCAGGATTAAGAACTCACATTTCATTGTTCTGAAGGCGAAGCCTCAGGAAAAGTCAGATAGATATGAAAAGGATCGTATTAATTAAAACAGCAGCCTTTACTTCAAGTTTTTTGACTGTATGCTGTTTTTCAAAAGGTATGAGGTGTATTAACAACGTAAGTTGGATACCTGGACCTGTCCAGATACGTGTAAATACATGGCATTGCCTAACATAAAACTAGCAATCGGAACAGTTCAGTGTTTATTTCTCCTGTGAGCTCAAAAAACGTGTAACATTCTATGGTCATGCCTTCACGTGGCAGACAAGTATCACGGGCACAAACATAGGAATGTTCACGTATACTTCTGCACAAAACTTCTAAAATATACTGAACCAAGGGCTAACGTTTCAAGTACGTTAGCCCAACAGACTGATTTCAGCTTGCAACTGTCCATAGGCAACTGGACAAATCACACAGCAATGTAGGTATGCAATAACAGAATTCACAAATAAGGAGAAATAAGTTCTGTGTCCAAAGTAGCAGTCTCTTAACCAAAGGAGGCTTCTTCTGAATCTTGACTGAATAACTGAAACAGGCCACAGAATCACAGAATGGTTGAGGTTGGAAGGCACCTCTGGAGATCATCTAGTTCAACCCCCCCTGCTCAAGCAAGGTCACCTAGCACACATTACCCAGGACTGTGTCCAGACAGCTTTTGAATATCTCCAGAGAAGGAGATTCCACAGCCTCTCTGGGCAAACTCTTCCAGTGCTCAGTCACCCTCCCTGTAAAGACGTTTCTCCTCAAAAAAAGTAGACCAGGTCCATTTTTTTTAAAAGGTAAATACGCACTACGCTGAATGCCTTCTATTTCTTAATTACAGCCCATGAAAGGGGAGTTTGAAGAACAACCATGAATCTTTATCAATACTACACAAAGTTTTGAGATAACATTATTAGATTATTTTTGTATCAGTTCAATGTTCTTTATAAAGAATCCAAATTCTGATATGAATACAATGTTGATAAATTATCAGTAACAACATTCTAAAAGTCATACCAACTGTCATCTCAGATTTTGAACTAAATATGAAAACCAGAGTTTACAGTAACATTATGTCACGTGTCTTTAACATCTTTTTTTTAAAGACTCTTTTTCTTACGCTACTCATACCTTTTTCCATAGATCCTGGAGTATCCAAACATTCAGCAACATGCCACCGAGGTGTCTGGACTAACAGTAAAGAGAAAGGCATCTGACAGCTTGGACAGTATCCATCACGAACCAGCTTTGCATTTTCTGAGCTTTGCTCTGTCGGGCTACTAACACTTTCCTGGGACTGCACGATAGTATCGTCTCTACTTTGATCTAGATCCTGATCTGGTCTTGATTTCTGCTTGCTTTTCTTAACAGTATCACTTTTTTCCACTGATTTTCTTTTATTTCCATTTCCCTTTCTTTTTGGCTTGCACTTGTCATTACTTATTTTCTGCACGGGTGTAGAGATGCTCTCCGAATTAACCTGATGCACCAACTTTTGTTTCCTAATGGATTTGTACTCCCAAATGTCCTCTTCCAATAAAGCATCTTCAGACATGGCAACACACGAAATATTTTCCTTGCTCTTAAGCAGCAGTTCACTAGTCTAGTTTTCCTTCTGTTAATAAGTTTTCTCTCCCCCCCCCCCTCCACTAGCTGAAGAAAAGCACTTGAACTCCATTTAAAAAAAAAAAGACCGGGCCACAAACCAAACAGCAGCCCCTGGGGAGATAGAAGCATGGTGGCTCCTACCCTAAAAATAATTTAAGGAGTGTCTCTCTGAATATTCGTAACCACAGCGGCTAAACGAAACCCGAGGCTGTAAGATGCAGAAGTACTTGCAGAGCGCGCCATTTCCTTCAGTTATTCCACTTGCAAGCACCTAACCCGGCCTCGCTAAGTGAAAAGCCCAGCTGCGCCCGCGCCCCGGCTGCCACCTCGCTGGCCCGAGGCGAGGAGGTTTTTGAAAGAAAACAACCCAGATTTCAGCTCCGGAGCCGCTGCC